TGTCAATGATAAATTTCATTTGCTGACAAGGTCATTGTATCGAAAATTTATGTAAAAAAAAAATTGGATATGCGTGTAAAGTATTTTGTACCAACCTTAGATGTGTACATTTCAATTTCTTTTACCTTGATCTAATTTTTGTTAAGGTCACATGAGAACTTTCAAATGGACATCGCATGTGAACAAGATTTAATAAATCATATTAATCCCCTTTTAAGAATCTTTGTTCCGTGTAATTGTACAATTATTACCCAGCAATACAGTATGGGTCATAGTTTTTAATCATTCCATAAAATTGATAATAAATTTTTAACAATTCCAACCTCTATGATAAACAATGCTTGACTAACATTTGTTTGGTCTAGTAGATCTCAGTCTATTAATTCCCTCTGGACTTGGTGCAGCAATATACGCTGCTCTTTATCACCTACATATCAGGCTGAGTTGTCAACTTAATTTTCAGCGTATTGTCTTTTAAAAAAAACATTGTCATATAGTGTGTATTCAATGTGTGAACAATTTTCAAAATAATAAAATTTTTGACAAACAAACTGAAACAAGCTAATGAAACAAGAATTTCAGCAGTCTCGCTTAAAGGTAATTTAACAACAAGTTCTATGATAAACGTTGTCTAACTTTTCTATGGTCCAATTCCCTTACTTATGAGCAATATACCTCATCAACATACAATTTATCATTGAGTCAAATGCTGAGCATGCTCTACGTTTTTCAAAACTAATTTTTAGTCCAAGTATTAATACACAAGAATTGACAGTCGGTTTATTCCATTTTTTAAGTTCTATGGTCGATATACATGAGCACACGACAAATGTGACCGATTTTTCAAACTACATCCTCCATGGCACTGGTCTACCACTGAATTTTGCATTGTTTTATGGACTATTGAGTTTGAATACTGTTCGTTATCTTCATATGTTTCATGCATTGTATTTTAGTGTTGAAAACGAATTTCAAGAAAATTTAGCAGAACCTAATTATGTTCCCCAAACGAAGTTGGGGAACATATTGTTTTTACTCTGTTTCTTATTATTATTATTATTTTTCTTCTTCTTCTTCTTCTTCCTGGGTACTTTTTTGTCCGGGAGTGATCTTGTAAACTGTTGATCCGATGTAGGTAAAACCTTTTTAGGGTCAGTAGACATGTTATGTAGATTTGCGGAATCAAGGTCATTTTGTGCGCACGTGCTTGCAAGAGCGCGCACGTGCATCATGTGAAATAACCAATATAATGTATATTGCCTTAACTTTTCTATCTTTTGATGAAATGCTTTGAAACTCATAGTGTAAAGATATATTACTACTATAGACAAGATGACATGGTCAAAATAGCAAGATCTCACGCGCATGCACGTGCGCTTTGATCTGATTGGCTGAAACTAAAGTCTCTATATCTTTCTTGTTTTTTGACGAAATCCTTTGAAATTTTGAACATAGCCATGCATAAGGATATCCTACAACATGGTATATAGCAATTATCATGAAAACACGTGCATGCACGTGCGCTGCAATCTGATTGGCTGAAACTTTAAATTGCTATAACTCGCTTGGTTTTCAACCAAACAGGATAAGATTTGGAACATAGATATATATAATCGACTTCTACAAGAAGGTAAGGTCACCATGCACAGGCATACACGTTCGTGTACGTGCGCTGCAATCTGATTGGCTGAAACTTTAAACAGCCATAACTCCCTTGGTTTTCAACCAAACAGGATGGGATCTGGAACATAGATATATATACTGGACTTCTACAAGAAGGTATGGTCACTATGCACATGCATACATGTGCGTGTACATGCGCTGCAATCTGATTGGCTGAAACTTTAAACAGGTATAACTCCCTTGGTTTTCAACCAAACGGGGTGGGATTTAGAACATAGATAGATGTAATGGACTTTTACAAGAAGGTATGGTCATCATGCTCATGTATGCACGTGCGTGCACGTGAAATGGGTAAAATCAAAAATACACTTGAATGACCGTTTTTTGTATACTTTTGGATTATATTTAGCATATTAAAATATATAGATTGTGTAGACAATATGATATGGTCATTACGCACATGCATTCACATGCGCAAGTGTGCAATAATAAAATTTGAATGAACATGGTACACTTCTTGGTAAACGTGTTAAAGTAAATGCATAGAGTTTGTCTTATTTAATTACGCCTACAGGGAATATGATTATAAAAGGGAGTTGGGGAGCGTTTGGGGAACATCTGTAACGGTCCCCGTTACAATAAGCACTAGTTAAATTATTTAATTATATAAAGGGAAAAAAGATATATCTAGTAAAATAAATCTTAGAAAGCGAAAAAGATTAATTTGAAACAGTGCAAAACTCTCAAGATTCCTCAAATGAGTTTAAATACATAAAAAATTATGTTATCCAGTAAATCAAACCTTTTAAATATTCTGATAATTTTGAACGAATTATTCAATTAATAAGCATCTGACAATGTGCATCAGGTATGCTAAAGTATACGCATTTTGCATTATACGACCTTTTGCTTTAACACATTTGTCCAGGTGCACTAAGGACTTTCCCTATCTGAGTATTATTTGGTCTTCTATCAAAGTATTTTACATTTTCTCTCATTTGAACCATGACGTTTTCTTATTGGGAAGATTCGAAATCAAAAATCTATTTTATATATAGATTTTTTTTTCTTGGTTCTTCAATGCTGATCAGTTTTGGCCTAGTTAACCATTATTCAAGCAAATATGTCTTCGTATATCTATATAAGACTTGACAATGTGAAGTCAACCTTCCCATAACAACAAAACTCATCGAAATAATATAGGTCTTATAAAGTAACATCAACGAAAATGTCAAGGAACAAAAAAATGCAATGTATATATTCATTGTGGGTTTAAACAAAATATTTCATATCCGTATCCATGCCACCTAATATAACCTCTGATGTTTCGGAGGCCCGTGTTTGCGCTGCTCCTATTTTATATAGTTTAATGCACCTTTCAGCTTGAATACTGTTCGTTATTTCCATATATATTTCTCGTTATTCTTCAACACTTACAGCTGACAATGATCTTGGATGGGACTGTACTGTAGTACTGTTGGGAAAAGGTTATTAAATGTTATTCACTAGTCAATGACAAAACGGATTCAGATAAAGGTTTTTGGTACATATATTTCAAAGAAGCGCTCCTGCGGTCTATTCAGTGTTGATTACATGTATATTTTGTAGAAATTTTTTTTTTACGGAAGGTAACGAGTCGTAATATAAATTTAGAAAGACAATTATAAATATCTTATAAATATATGCAAGTATCTATATAACCTGACGGAAAAAAGTCAAATGGCTATCAGCTTCTTATTTATCATTAAGAACAAATCAATACTTAATAATTAATCAATTAACAAATTTGAATGTATGTATTGACATAACCATACACGTGTATTTTGAAAACTGGAAATATAGTCCGTTTCTAAATACTGGAATCGTACATTTTATTTGTCTTTCGGAGTACTAGGAACATAAATGGAACTGTTCTGAAATATATGTAATCATTTTTTTCACGAGAAGATCTTTAATATAGAAAAAATGATGTAACAATAAAGTTTGAACATTATTATCATAAATTAAATCTGGTCATAAATATTTTATTACTTTCGAGTAATTTGCATTTTAAAATACCATGGGTTGACTAATACAAATTTTAAAAAAAAGTACATGTAGTCTATGTTTTTCAAAGTTGTAATGATTTGACTTTAAAAAAGATACTTTGAAGATAAATTGAAAAACAAATCGTCCGCCTTTGTCATATGAATATCGAAAATTGATTCGACTGATTTTGTACTTACTAATTAAATCTTACAGGATTAAATTGATATTTGACACATATTCTTTACTTTAAAAAAATGAGACCAAACATATACTTATAGCAGCTATATGTTGCAATATATAAAAGAATTAAAAGATTTTTCTCTCAAAAGTTAATTATTTATTTTGAAGATGGTCTATGGAGTAGGTTTTGCATCAGCAACTGTTTTTTAGCAGCTTTTTATTTTAAGATATGATAATATGAAATGTATAGATTCAATATTGAGCTAGTTGTAAATCTCTTGGAGAAAACGGATGGCAAAAGACACTGAGTTATTTAAAAGTTGTAAAAGATGTGTGAATGAATAATTTAAAAAAAAATCAATTCATGTCTTGGAGTTTATGTATTTCTTGACCATGAAGGACCACCCAAATACGATCTTAAAATTTCAATACTCCTTATCCTTTTAAATATTTACTTTTTTCCAAGCGTTAAAACTGTTGATTGATAGTGTTTTAATGTTGATATAAAGTAATGATAAATGCACAAATCTGATGTTACCAAATTTCAAGACGGTTAACCAATGTTTGGTAAATATGCAGAGGTTAAACAGTTTTTGTAAGCAAATTTATGGTTTTTGAAATAGTGATATTTTGAAATACAGAAAAAAAGGATTAAAATGAGAAACATGTATCTTTAACAGTTCTAGAGATTCAGTCTAAATTGTTGAGTTCATATCAAATTTCTGAATGAAGAGTGCTGACTACATTTCTGCCTACTCTCCATCTCATTTTAACTAATAATAATAATAAACTTTTTTTTAATTCTATTGTCTTATTTTTTAGATAACCTTTTAAAAAATCACTAATAATATTACATGCAATAAATAATGGATAGAAATTTACATAGCCAAGCCCTCATTAAAACCTTGAAAACACCAGAGAAAATAATCTTTTTAACACTAAGTTTTCCTTCATATGAGGCCCTTATGCCTTATGTGTCTTTGTACAATATTTTCTATATCATGAATTTTCAAAGTAGGAGTCTTTGAAGAAATTTTATTACAAGGATTAGGATGAATGATGAAAAAATTCCAAACATCAGCTCTGTATTTTGGCAAAATTATTTCAATTCTTTTATTACTTAAAATAATCATCGGTGCAATACTTAAAAATAATCATAAAAAGACTAATCACTTTCTATTTTCCTTTAATTATGTAAAAACTATACAGAGTTCATGCTGAATTCATGTCGTCCCCACACTTCTACAATGCCAATTTACAACCCTGAAATAAAAAGAGGAGTAGAAGAGAAAAAACCATAATTATGTCTTAAAACACACTTAAATGTGTTAATGATATTTGAAAGGTGTTTGAACAATAGGAAACGAGACGGCAACAATGAAACAGTGATTCAAAATGACGTCATAGGATGGTTTGCAGACAATATACATCATGTTTCAATTTAACAGGTGATCTCATAATGTAAAACAAAATTATTTCAATATGACTTTGTTGTGTTTTGCACCTTACATGCTGTTTTCCACCTTGGGTGTAACCTAATATAACATATTACATCTTCAAACAACTAGCATGCAATACGATAATAGATGCTGGGTTTTTCTGAAATTCAAAAAAAAAAAGATATAATTCTGGTTTCGTTCATTACTGATTAGAATAGTAAATATAGGCTAGTTCAGGGGTACTTGTTGCAATAAAGTGTTGTCTGTCTCGAAAGACGTGGGAAAATCTGTTGAGGGGTAATGATTTGGACACCGTTTAGATGCTTATCTGAATACTTGGGTCTTTTCTTATAGCACCCGCACATCTTCAAACGGGGCGATTGTTTACTGTTAAATTTATCTTTTTGTACACAGAACGTGATACCTTCCCGATCCTAACAACTTTTTATCTTCTCATAATTCGTGAAGGATGTTTCAAATTGTGTAAAAGACATATACATCTATATCTTCTTATTTTGTCTTCCATTTGTTAAATTATTAAGAGATGTGGAAGTTATTGGAATATATATGTCCACAAATTCGAGTAAATGGAAATAGAAAACTAAATACAGGTGAGACCTTAGTCTTCTTCATTACATGTTCTTTGAGAAAACATATCTCTATATTATTAACTTTACGTTTCTATATGGATTTTCTGTTTTCCAGCATATATTTCATTCATCTTATAATTCCTGGAAAGTACAAAGAACTATGAATCCCCAAAATGAATTTTAATAAATAGCCTAAACAGTCTCGATTTTTCAAATCTAAGTAAGATTTCAGTAAGTTATGTACCTTGTTGTTCAATTGACAAGTGGCCTAATACTTTGACAAATACACCTAAACCATAAGACGCTAAGATGTGTTAGTGTAAAGAGTGCTGCTTCTGATCAATGAATGGAATAAGTAGTAAATAGGCAACATCGATTCAAAATTTTGATATTGACTTGATATATAGTACACAGGTACGAGGTCTCTTTCATATGATGGTCACTTTTTAAGGCCCTCGATTAAACGATAATTAAAGTTTACTTATGAAGAAGTTGTAGAGACTTTCCTCAATTTAATGCGATTTAAAGTGTTTATTTTCACTTAAACTTCTTCAATACGTATCAAAAGTATTAGTTTCATCAATTAATTTAGGGAAAAAGTGTCTTTTAATTCAAGTGTATTTCTGATAGCAGATCAAACTAATTGAATCGTAAGCCAATCTGATTTTAAATACAGGTGTCCAAACTGAGGCTCCAAAGGGGGTGTGCCAAAAAGAAGCATCCAGAGAATTCTAGAATATCAACTTTAGCTATAAATATTTATATTTCATTTTATTTTTATTAACATAAAATATACTTATTATAAAAAGAAAAAGCTTCCATAAATTTCCACCACTAAAAAGACAATCGTTACAACCACACATCATAAACATTAGGAAAAAGGTGAGTAGAACTTCAGTGACATCGTTCTTTAGCCTCTGTTGTGCCCTGAGATAATTCAGATACAGTGCTGTTAAAAAATATATATAAATTTTGTTCTCTGGGGACATACAGTGGATCAAGAAAATTATGATTATAGATATCAGTTTTGAATATTTAACCTCAGGGCTGGTTTTACACCTGAGAAAAACACAGAAAACATCGAATATTTCTGCTGAATTTATTCACTGGAATTTTGTTACTTTTTGAATAAATCTAATATCGAAGCTTGTTTTTCACACCAGTGGGTTTTCTTGTTCGAAGGATTGCTTAAGAAATTTAATGACCTTTTTATTAACTTTTGGGACAAAATGAAAAAGTGTATGTAAATATTTTCTGATGAAAGGTTTTCTAACTCGTGTGTTTGATTCTACTTTTATGAGAGTTTCAGATGACGATAAACTCCTCGAACTATCTGAAGCATTAAGAATTGTTTAAAAAGAACTCTAATCAATTCCATTGAAGAAGTGCAAAATACCCTGTAAAATAACATTAATCAAAAAATGCAAGAACTTCAAAGACCTTAAACTGGGTGGTTTTGACGCTTGACAGATATCAAGAGGTGAAAACTAGACGTTCAAGCGAGGACAACTGTTCTGTAAACCAAGTCATCTCCGATCATTGTTTTTTATCCTTTGGTTTGTGCAACTATTTGTGCAAATCAGGAAAGAAATCTAAAGAAAAAGTGGGAGTTTATTTTCATTTTAATTCTTAAAAGGATCGGTACGAAAAAAGGTGACAAAATTGAGGTAAGACTAATTTACATATGTAAAATGATGTGGTTGCTTTATTCTTTTGAACGCGTGTAAAAGGTGGGTATCAGATCCTGACAGATGTGTTGTACCTCTTTTAGTTTCATGTTTCGGGTAACTAGCATATAAATCCCCTGTTGATTGTTTTAATCAACTTTAAAAGACCCTTAAAAGCTTTACAGTTTGACCTTTTTCAATAAGAACACACAGACGGGATCATCGCATTGTTAAGAATAGGTCTGCAATCATGGTGAGATGGATTTCGTGGGTCAGTAACTTAAAAGAGACAGTTAAATGTAACGAAAAAACTAATGTTTGTTTGGAAATCGTTTTACCACCCCAAGTTCAGCTTTAAAGCAGTAGATTTCAATAAAATGTGTCTAAAAGGGGGATATTTCACAGATGGCATGGTTACAAGTGGTCTTTGAAATTGTTTTCAGCGAAAAAATATATGAAACTTATGTTCTGTGATACAACTTTTCTTAATCTTTCAGGGTAATCATATAATATGAGGATTTCTAGTAGGCAGACAGGAATATGTCACAAAAACTCCACGCAGGAGCAACATGCATCAATGAATATCGAGTAGGGAAGACCACATGAAAAAGGAGTTCTTTAGGCATCTAATTATGTGAACCACATTAAAAAAAAGATGACGATCCTATCAATATGGGGAACAGTTTAATGGTGATTTTTCAACAATTATTTTTAGAGGAAGTCTGATACGAAACGCGTTGTGATGAAGCTGACATTTCGCCAGAAACTGGAGTGCGTTGCGTCCAAGATTTGCCACGATGAATTTCACATAATGAATGTGTAAATGTTAAAAAAAATGTGTATGATTGACAATTTTTTTCCGGAAGTGCAGTTACCATTGTTTACATTTCGAAAGTCAGTCTGCTTGATTGAAATTTAAACATATCTACATGATACTGCATATTTGTAAATATTACTGAAAGACCTGTAGACATATTTATTCCGGGGATATTCCAAGTTGTTACGTAAATTATAGAACCGACATCGGTGGTTTCTTAAGTTCATCGTCGGGGAAGAAAAATTCATTCGATACTGAGAAAAAATAAGATAGTTTTCATTTGATAAAGACAATCATATTGGCCCCAGAACATCCTCGGGATATTTAATTGGAAACCTGCTGAAGTCAAAGATTATTGCCAAGAAAAATAAAAGTTTATTAAACGAGCCTCAGCATCGACAATTTTCGAAGAATTGTCTGACGTTGGAACTAATTACTGTAAATGACCATGCAAGTGCAGGGACTGTTAGTACTACTGTATTTTTATCTCATGTTTCCGGTTAATAGCATTGGCCTATGGTGGTAAGTATGAAGAATAAATAATGCTTTGATATTTTTAAAATGACTGAGTGCTACGTGATGTAATTACATGTGTTAACAGTATACGTCTTCTCATAATAGGATGTAATCTTAAATTTTATTTTATCAGAGTAGCAATACAGGTTGTATGATCATGAATGGATAGCATAAATAATATTTGCCCCATGTAAGACTAGAAATTCAAATGTGAAAAAAGATATATCAACCATCTTTCTATAAAGTTTTGGATGTAAAACTAGAAAATCATATATGAAATTAATATCATCCAATTTTTTTTTATAATGTTGAATTTTCAGGAAAAGGATTAGGAAAAATCAAAGAATAATGTTTTGAAAATAAAATGTCATTTTTGAGATATTTACACTGTTGAAATTTGTGATTGATGGGACACTGGTATAGGCTAAAAAGAAGATGGATTAAGTATTAAGGCCTGTAGTTAAAATTTCCCCCAGAAATATGGCTTGTCATACATGTTATTCCTCTGCACCCAATAACCAAATTCTAACGAGAATCTAACAGACACAATCAAACCATCAACATGTCACTTATAATTGAAAACATTTTTAAAGGCATTGTACAACATGAAATATTGAAATGAAATGTTCAGCTTTCTCGCACATTGTGCTTTCTTAATGATACATGGGTGGCTGATTTTTAAAAATAGATAGGAAGATACGCTTGGTAGTCAAAGAATATTAGCAACAAAAGTGAGAAAGTGAAATCGATTTCTTGGGTAGCCAAGGTAAATTTATACCACCTTGATTATAATGATAATGGAACAAATATTAAAATAAAATGAAGAGAGAAAATTTGCCTTCAATGCAGATATTTTTTCTTCAAAAAATGATTAAGAATTAAGTGACTGTTTCAGAAACAACAACAAAAAATCCTAAACGATATTTTAAAAAAAACACTTTTAACTTCCTTTTGGAATATTTTTAATTAAAATGAGTAAAATTAAAAGAAAACATTTCGTTTATTACATTTCAATGTGTAAAGAAATCTAATACAATCATATCATTGATATTTTTTTATATCCTGAATTTGAACGTCTTTAAAATATTCATAATAAAACAAACCAAAAATGTATTGCTGGATGATATAAACTTTTTGAAATGTAAGCATCATTTTAAATATTATAGTATATTTTCTCCATTTTCAAAACAATCTTGATATATTTGAAAGCAAGTGGAGTAATAGTTGCAAAAAAATAAATACATGTAGTGTAAAGCAAGGTTTAAATTAACATGCAGCAAAAATATTTTTAATTCTTTTTCTATGTTTTATCAACAGTGCAAAACAGACTGACATAATCTTTATCTTAACAAAAAGAATAAAATCATTTTTTTCAAAGAAAAAAGAAAATCTACATAACAAAAATCCATAATTAAACCACAATAGTTCCAAAAATAAAATCTTAATAACTACTAAATTTGATCTCAATTTAAAATAATAATGTTGATGTAAGGGATTCTTAGAAAAGTATTTTTGGCCAAGTTAAGCTTTAAAAAAAATTTCACAGATCTTAAAAACTTAAAGAGTAGTGTTATTTTATATATTTTTATCAATATACACACTGTAATACATAAAAATAATAAAGAAAGGTAATTCTTAGTAGAACACCTTCAGAACACTGCGGAAGATAGTAAGGCTTTTGACGGTAATTGAAATTTGCGTTTTCCCTCCTCACTCGGGGAGATAACCTTGATTCTAGACATAACAGTCATTTTCTCGCGTCTGTCCGACTTCCCCGAGGAGAGGTGCTAACAATTTTGCATAGTCGAATTGCACTGAATGAGAGATTGATAGAGTAGAATTTCCTAAAGGGTATCGGACAAATCAAAATTCAAAAGGCTATTAATATATATTAACTGTATAAAATAAGTGCAATATCAATACAGAGTTCTTTGATCAAAAAATATTATAGGAAGTCAAGTGGGTGCAATATTGAAAAATAATTCAACGAGAAATCTCTAAATATAGAATTAAAATTAACGTGATTCATGAAAAAAAAAGTCGAACAACCAATATATGTCACTTTTCAAACAAATTACTGATGTGATTAAAAACCATATTGGTTTATAAAACTTTCCCTTTGGGTAAATCATTTTCTGGAACAAGTAAACTAGCAGGATAATTAGAAAAATGAAACCCTGTACGACAAAGGTGGACTTCGTTATTAACTGAGGTCAAGGTATAATGAATTTAGTTATTAAGTTATATTTTGATTACATGATCATATAATATATCTGATGAGATATATTTCTTCATTGATCCTGTAGACATTGCATGTACTTCAGTTTTGTGTAAGACAAGCTTAACAAGTTAATCTTACAATTTAAAAGAATTGCCTTTTTAGATATTTACATTTTAATATCATTTATTTAATGGTAGAATATTCGTCTCTAGCTTAAAATGTTTCTAAAAATAAAACTACATGTTTAAAAACCTTGATTTAAGGTCACTACATCTTTTTCTTTATTATAAAGTAAATAATATATAAAACATATACAGTAATATATATTAGCTATATATGGCTATTACATCTTGAAATGAAATAAGAATTTTGAAATTACAGCAAGAGAACTTGTTTATATATGGTCTGACAATTTGTATACAATTTGGCATTGAAATTTCTAAAATCACAACAACAAAAACTTTTATATTTTACTATTTTTTTCTAATTTTTAATGCGGACAAGTAAATCTGTAAAATAAATAAAATTCATATGTTTTAGGTCTTATATAATTGGTGAATATTTGTTTTCTGGAATAAATTTGGGAAAAAATTCATTCATAATTAATAATTAGATAATATGTGTATTTTAAAAACATTTGCTAACACACGGATATAATTATTTTTAATTACTCATATCAAGAAATATTAAATTTCACAGTTACGTTATCATGTTTTCTTTGAAGTCTTAATTTATTATCGACCTTTTACGTAAAAAACACCAAAAAAATATATACTTGTTTATATTTCTCTCAAAACCATTTTGTAATTTGGTTAAAAAAGTGGTGAAAGATTTGTGCTTAGTTCAAATATCACTCCGCCCATTGAGAGCTTTGCAACAGCTTACAACTATTTTATCTTCCTCATGAAATACACGCGTTTATATTCAGCAGACGCAGACGATATCAGATTATGCATCTCATTATCACAGCTGTCAAATGCCTTATGAATATTTATGATGTATATGATAGTGTAATGTAGATTTTTGCAACTTATCGAAAATTTACAAATAATTGAATGCCTTGATATTTTTTTTTATTGCAGATGGGTTGATAGGATATTATTAATAATTACGAAGTAAATTGTATACATTTCTGGTAATACTTATAAGAAGTGGTTATGAAAGCTTACAAAGAAATTTTGAATAGATAGATACATGTACTTTATGAAATTGCATTCAAATTAAATATTTTGCAGATATATATTTTTTCATGCCTTGTTATTTTTGATTTCTTTAGGGCGGTAGGTAGTCCCTTGGTTATGGACCCAAACAGCATTTGTCGAAAAAGTCGAAGATTAGCGGGAAAACAAAGAGAAATATGTCGAAAAGAAATTGAAATCGTAGAAGAAGTAGCAAATGGGGCCAAGCTAGCGCTGGGCGAATGCCAATACCAGTTCAGAAACAGAAAATGGAATTGTACGACATCTAGAAGAATGCTTTCAAGAGTTCTTAAAACAGGTATGAATTTACTGTTCAGTTATGAAAATAATCAATACTATACAGACCATATTATTTCTGATCTAGTATTTTAATGGCCGATTCATAAGACAGGATAAAAGGTTAATACCTTTCAGGCAAACATTATAATACAATTTTGATATCATCCAAGGTTACAAAAAACGAACTACAGTATCTCATAATTAACATTTGTTTCACATTTTCATGCAACATAAAATATCATGGGAAAATAATCAAAGTTTGTGTTTGTATAACTGGAAGGAATATACAACGTTAATCGGAAACATTCTGTTATTTGTATCCGTACCATTTTTTATGTTAGCTTTAAGGTATACTTAAAGACAAAATGCTCGATGTTTATATTCAAAAGTTCATTTCTGTTTGTGTCATGGACCTAATACAAGAGAAAAAAAAATGTCCAAAAATCATAAAAATTACTGTACATTGCATGCAACGATTCCAAAATATAAAAAAGCACATATCTCTTAAACCCAAGAGAATATATTTTCTGCATAAATATCTATACTTACAGTGAGAAAACTTTAAATCCAAACTTTCCAACAAAGAACATTCAAAAAAGAGCACATGTTATATTAACCAGTTACCAAAATTTTGTGACGTGTGCGATCTTCAGTTTTTTCGTTTAAAATAATAAATCTCCCCTTTTTCTTTGTGGTGCTATGCTGTGTAGAGCTCTGATATTTCTTATTTTGTGTAAGATCTTTCCTTTGCTTTTTTCCCCACCTTTCACCCCTGTTTTTAAGATCAAAGGAAACCCACTCTTGGAATATGTGCTGGCAGGCAGTCTTAAATGATGTTGTGCCACTGATAATATAGCACTTCAAAGGATTCCTGCATAATAGAAACTTAATGTTTCTGTGAGGCAAGTTTACAGAGCTTGAATTATAAAGCAGCATATGCTTTTTACACTTTGAAGATAAGTTAGATCATAAAACAAACAAGCTAAAGAGAAACAGTTTTTTGGGAATCTCATTTGATAAGCTAGTTTCCTCAAACGTTTAAAGAGAGGAGGCTTCTGCAATTGAAATAAAATTGTTCTAACTTGTAAGTACACTGTTTTACAAGAAACATTATATTTAAAGATATTCTCAAGACCAACTGAGTGTATTAATAGGAAGAAGTAAGATAAATGAAGTACAAAGGGGTCAAGAACATTAACGTATCAAGGAAAATTTGCAAAAAACGACGGTACTGATCTGGCTTATTCATGAATTGAGGAAACTGTTAAAACAATAATAAAAATGTTATGCAGATGAAAATTGTATCTCTTTGAGTCTTGTAAATTCGTTTTTGCATACTTTATTTTAATGTCAGGAGAATGGTGAAATGTCATTAATCGTCAAAATACGGTTTTAAACTGCTTTATCTGAAAGGATAGAGATTTTTTAGTTGTTAAGAGAGTATTGAAGAAATAGATTTTGTATCCATGAATATTTCGAGATAATTTTTTTAAAAGTTAAGATTGCTTGCAGGGGAAAACTTGTCAAAAACATTCATCTGTTCGCACAAAAGAAAACTGAATTTGTCTTAAAAGAAATTTTTTATGCGAACAACTCCAAAAAACGAATTTTATATGCAATACATGTACATTTTCACAATCGGTCATTATGTCGATTACTGACTGATGATTTTCATACTAATTGTTACGCTGGATTGTGTACGGTAGGGATTTTCCCGATCATGAAAAGGAGCATACAGTGGTCGTGACCGGTCGACAGGGGATGCTTTCTCCTCCATGACATCTTATTTCAATTCTGATGATTTTAGGGATCCATATTTGCTCTGCTCCCACTTTTTATCGTTTCAATTGACGTTGGAGATAGATTACTTTATTTCATTAATAATTATTGCAAGTAGTTTTGGTAAATGAGTAGTTGATTTCACTGGATTGAATAAAGTCATTTCGAGGTGTGAAAATATATACAATATAATAAACTTTATTTATTTCATATTAACAGATCTTAATTGAATTTAAAGTCATTCGATAAAACTGAACACAATTTAGTCAGCATGATATAAATTATCTTTTACATCCAATTTTCATCTCATGATATGCATGAAAAATAAACTACTTTGAATGATATTTTAAAAATCACACTTTGCATTTACGTGCATTTGTAATGGTATGGAAATAAAAATAATATTAGTAATTCAAACATCATTCTGTTTTGAAAAAGTAATGATTTCCATTTGTTGGAGTTAATCATCACTTTATGCTAATAACTTAAAGTTTTACATGAAGATAATAAAAGATCTGAAACGAGAAGAGGTTAAAAAAAAGCTAACACAAACCAGATTCTGTCGTAAAAAACATCTAGATTCTTTCATATGTATATCTGAAAAAAGGAACAGCAGTTTCAATTGATAGAAGGTTTATATACCATAAAAAAGTTGTTTTTTTTTTAATTTTAATGGGCAAAACTATTTGCAGAATATATTTAAAATTAGACACTGATATTAAAAAGTACGTTAAAAAAGGAATATTTGTACATGCACTGCTTGTTATTTTAAGAATAACATAGAAGTATAATATACATGTATATAATTATACACATATTCATGATCATAGTCAATATGCGGCCATCTTTTTTGAAAAATTTTCGACACACTTTTCATGTGAAATTTCAAAATATTTCCTCACTTGTGTAAAATAAACGCCTTGAAATAATTCATTTCGGCAACTGTGCTTATTGTTTTTGTAAGACCACATAGACAAAACAGAGTTTATATCTTGAACTGAGTTAAACAAGATAAAACAGATTCAAATTCAAGGTGGGGTATACTATCGTAATTTCCGATACATTATTATTATTATGGTTCTGATCTGCTAACAAAGTTTTTTGATATTTTTTTTCAAATGGCATTTTTATCGCAATTTCCAATGAAACACACCCAAAAACTTTCCAAATACCTTCAAAAGAGAACATTTCCATCTATTATCTTTGCAATACAATGATTTCTTTTTTCCTTTCTCTCTGTTAAACAGATACCAGAGAATCAGCGTTTGTTTATGCAATAACCGCTGCCGGAGTCACATTTGCTGTAACGGAGGCCTGTGCGATGGGCAAACTCATGCAATGTTCTTGTGATAATAAAGTTCAAGACATTAATACGGACGGCGACTGGGTTTGGGGAGGCTGTAATGATAATGTAGACTTTGGGTATCGAAAATCTAAAGACTTCATGGACGCTCGCAAGCGAAAACGTCGAGGGGACCTGACAACAAGAATACAGTTACACAACAACGAGGCCGGGAGACTGGTGGGTATATATACAGACAATGGATTATCTTTTTTCCATATTTCAACATTTTAAGGTGCATTCTTAATCAGCCTCTTTCCCCCTTATTTAGAAACTTTATCTCATATTGAAATAACAGAGACAATGTGACATGGTTTTGAAGACTTATGTAGTTTAAATTTTGAACTAATTGAAGAGGTACTCACACTGCATTTGGAATTGTATATTGTTTAAAGGTAACCTAGTTTATTCTACAGGAACGATGCAGTTTCCCTTTTATATTTTATCTTATCTTTGTTGAAACATTAACCGCACAACAATTCAATAAAACTTCTAAATAAGGCTCATATTGCAATCAAAATCGCAGCCAAACTCTAGCTTCCGGGCACAATTGTCAAAAACGAAATTAAATTATGTCAATAAAACTTCTATTGCAAGGTCTCAATGCCTCTTCAGATCTGCCTCCGTAAGTTGAATCACATATTGATTTTGGGTAATTTAAGTAATTGGCCAGTAACGATTTATCATCGGAACACATCTAGAGCTTATTGAATAGATCAAAGAACTGTTTGACGGGTACTTAATGCAGCATTTGTTTTACAAAGTATTATTAAGACATAGATCAGTGTCTTTCGGCACACCCTCTCAATAGTCAAACAACGTTTCGTACCAGTCTTAGAAGAGGCTGCTGTCATTTCAAACAAATTCATTTTCTGGATGACAAACCGAGTAAAAATTTACATGTATCGAATTCATACTTCACACACATAAAGGGTCCAGAATTTACCAAATCACGTTTATATTTCCACCATTCAAGGGCACTCACAGAGGAACTTTCTATCTGTGTTTATTGTCAACACTTATAGTTAGCTAGATGATGTAAACCCTTCTCATGTTTAGATCAAACCCTCTTGAAGCATGAAAGAGATTGCTATTACTATTATTTCGAGTACCTCTTGACCAGTGAAAATTCCTATTAATTTTATCTAATAGTCTGTCAATTTGTCACTTGTATATTCAACAAAGATAATTTGAGAGCAAGGATTAACGATCAAAGATAAATGCTCTTTTGTCGATGAATTTTCAATGAATGAAACATTTTTGTGGTGAAATAAGGATATTTCGGATAAAATATGAAATTTGGCCCAAGATTCGACAAAAACTTACGACTTCTAACGCATGAAAGGGGTTCATTGTGGGAATATTTGTTTCCTTTGAGTAATGGACAATTTGTTCAAATAAAATTGGGATTCCGAATAATTATAAGTCCTCGGTATTGAAAAGAATATATGGTCCATATTTTAACTTGCATATTTAGTAACAATAAAAATAGAAAAATTCTGAATAATATCTTATATTTGTCACGTAGAAAGGAGGAGTAGTGCATACTATTGTTATGAAATGATTCAAATATTCAAATGTAAAATACACTCACGAAAATATTACACCTCCTGGTGTCAATAGATAACAAATAACATTTCATGTAATTGAATTTCCATAAAAATATATGCCTGGCATTACTTTTTAAAAATAGTTTATAGAAAAGTGCAGTTGAGAGCTATTTTTGACACTGCTTTTAAGTAACTGACAAAATACGTATTCTAGAAATGTTATAATTTTGTTATCTCATAAAGCACATTTTTTTCTGTTGTAGGCTGTTAAAAAATATACAAGGGATGTGTGTAAGTGTCACGGGTTGTCCGGTTCATGTGCACTAAAGACGTGTTGGCGGAAAATGCCACCGTTTCGAAGTGTTGGTGATAGACTTAAAGAGGAATTTGATGGTGCAATTCAAGTAGAAATCTCTAATGATGGCAAAGCCTTGGAAACTAAATCTAAAACAATTAAGCCTCCTTCTCGCGAAGACCTTGTTTACTCGGAGAATGCCCCAGATACAAGGTTTTGTCGTAAAAACAGGAAGTGGGGATCCTTAGGAACTAAAGGACGACTTTGCGATCCTAAGTCTATGGAAGTAGGAGGATGTGACCTACTTTGTTGTAATCGAGGATACAAAACAGAAAAAGTGACCCTGAAAGGAAATTGCAAATGTAGATTCATCTGGTGTTGTGATGTGCAATGTGAAACATGCGTACAAGAAAAGACTATACACAGATGTCTATAGCTCTCCTGTGTTTAAAGGAGCGTTTGTTATTTAACTATGGAGGCCATTTTACATGCCAAAACAAAGAAATTTGGGGATTTTTTTAAAAATTAGGTTGGAATGAAAGTGTTTTGTGTAAATGAACGTGTACATTTTGTTGTTGTTGAAAAGTTGCAAACACAGTAAATTGCTCTTGAATTGGAGAATTGTAAAAAGAGAAAGATTACAACTAATATACATTTGTATCCATTGAAGTGTCTGCATATTCACTTCAAGGCCGTTCAGTATTTATGATCATTGTATCCATATTTTATCATTACGATATTGTACATATGCGTTATAGAATATTTCTTGATTAAAATAAGCTTCAATTAGATGTTACAGTATTGAAATATTTACAAGATCTGACTGAATATTTTGTCAGTTCTAGAGGGTTATGTTCTGAAATTGTAAATATATTTATTTAAATTAATTACTGTTTTATTTACATATCATAACTTTATTTTGTATGTTGCTTATAAAGTATATAGGGTACAAAGGAGTTTAAAGAAGGCTTCTTTTATGTCATATATTTAAACGTTTGTTGTTTTTCATATGTAAGATAGGAAATCATTGACATGTACCTTGCTTAGCATTTTTTCTACTTTATTTTAAAACGTCTTCAACTAATGTTGTCTTTTCCCCTTTTTCCAAATTATATTTATTTTAAAGAAACAGAATCTTTATGAAAAATTATGAAATGAATACTCTTCCTTACAAGATCAAAAGATTAAAAGATTAAGCAATATGTACATGTACATGCATTTGATTTTTATGTTACTATAACTCAGAATACTAGTGCCTTATAGTCAGATACAAGTTTAATTTACTTAGGAATTATTCATTATTGAACAATATCTTAAATATTGTAAGCAGTGGTATTTCTTTTTTCATCTTTTAACATGAACATTGTTCAAATGTTGATTATTACAGTAATAGCCTAGTTTGATCAGTTTCTTATTTAGCAAATGATGCTTTAAGCTTCCATCAGCATTCAGTCAATAATGGCTTGAACAGGATCAGCATTAGCAATAAACATTATAATTATAAATATTGGAGTTACATATAGATGTTTTGAAAAAAGCAAATGAGCCTTGTGCATGAATATATAGTATATATTAAGTTCATTATGCAGAATTAAGAGTGAAAAAAAGTCCACAACAAAGCATTCAAGATAAACAGCATTAATAAGGAAATTAGAAACATTCTTTGCTGGAGCATTTTATTTTCAAATATACAGGGGTTACTTTAAAGGTTAGTGGAGATGAGAAGGGGATACAATGTTAGAAATGTTAACAGAAAGTTCGTGTTTGCAGTATTGTATAACTATTTGACAATTTAATGTATTGTTTCAAATGCCACATTTTTAAAAAAAAATTGTAGGTAGTCTATTTATTTCACAACTTAAACTTGATAAACTGCCATTATTAAGAACCACGTTTCTTTCCTTTTACTTTACATTGCTTTCAAGCTAACACATCAAAAGCAATGAACGTTTTTTTGTTTGTTTTTTTTTTTTGCTATCTTTTGTATCAACAAAGATTTTTTTGTATTATTTTTTTCTGAAAAAAATGTCAAATAGTCTTTTAAAATGGGCATTTTGCATAATGATATATTTTCAAAACAAAGATAGTTTTCTTTCACGATATCAACAACTTATGGAAATATAACTTTAGCAATATAAATGAGAGTTTAAGCTACTTAATAATTCAATTTGAATTTTTCAAGACTTAAAATTTGGGTTCCAGAAATGTAGAAGTTTAGGTTTTAGACATAAAATGTCAATTATGTTCATTATTATTCACTGTATTATTGTCATGTAATTTAGTTACTGGATATTTCTGTTGTATTGTTTCATGTGTTTATATATACTTTATAGAAATTACTTCCTGTGAAATTGTTTTTCTACAATAAAACTTGCGTTAAACGCAAAATGACACAAACTGTTAACTTTCGAGTCCCAGGTACATCTTGAAATATAAACCAGATCAGATTTTAATTTATTTTAAATGTATAGTGATATTTGCCATATTCTTCAAATTTGATCACAAAAAATAAACTAGATGGACAACATTAAACAGATTTTTGAAATCGTGTCTTACTGTTATTTGGAAAGAAGGATTCACTAGGACAATTAAAGACGCTGGAACAAAGTCAAAGTAAATTAAAAAAAATAAACACAGAAATAATAAAATTCATCTAAAAAGTAAGTTCCACATTTTCTAACTTTTAAAAAATACTTCGGTTTATGAAAGAGTGTATGTTCATCGCTTGGATTTGTTTTTAATTAAACAACTTTTTACCGGGTTAACAAGTGTGTGAAAGTCAGTCAATTCAATATTGGTCTCAATAACTCAGTGCTTAAAGCACGCTAGAGGCCCTGGGTTGAGTCCATTTTTGAGATTTTATTTTTCACCATCTGTTAAATAATCGTGCAATTGAACATTATTCTAAAACAAACCTTCCGGACATTATTCAATGTTCATGGAGTTTATATTCGCTGGTTGGGTGCCTTGTGTCAACATACTAAAACTTCTAAATCAAGGAACATAGATATGAAAGGACATGCATGTGACAATTGAGACTAGCATCAAAGAAGAAATATACTTTTTTCATAGTATATCTCTCATAATACAAGAAAACTGGGGAGCGAGGATTAGCATTTGGTCTTTTTCAAAGAGATTTGAAAATTGCTTCGGATGTAAATTAATCTTTTATCACGGAACAAAACTTTCAGGATTCATTTTGCTTAAGGTGCTACACATAAATGTCTAAAATTTAAGTCAATAATCGTAGTAACGTTTCCATATCATGATTTCGTAAAACCACCATGAGATCTGGGAATTACTTGTTGCGGGGGCAACTCACTTTGTAAAAAAAAATTGACAGGAAGATATTTCAGTGAAGATAATACTCTCCTGCTGTAAATGAACAGAACTGGAAAAAGAAACATAATTTGTATTTGACAGGATAAATTTCATTTCCATTCTGGCTTAGGTCCATAGTTTTGCGTAAAAATACATGGATCCTTACCGGTAATTAGTGTCGCCACAATATGAAATAGATTGCCCTGAGCTTGATGCGGAGTTTCTAACGAATATTAAATACTGATGTTAGTTTGTGGTAAACATTTCTTTCCTCAAAGGCGGAGTCAAACTGGGAAATTCAAGGTTTAATAGTCGGTTAATAACGCTGAAATTCTTTAAGATGCGAATCTGCAGACGTGTTTAATTAAATAAATAAGCAGAAAATCAGTTATTGAGATTATCTGCTTTAGAAGCAGGAAGTCATGATGGCAGCAAAAGTCAATTTCAAATTGACATCTGGATGGACGCACAGTGATTTAGATTATAGTTGCGATGTCTTGATTTGTCTTTTGAATGGTGCATAAAGGTTGAAGGTTATGAAAATCTTATATGCAATAAGGACTAAAGTTCCTTTTAAAGAAATCCATATTCAGAAGTCAAACATGTGGCCTACGAAATACCACTGAATGTATATTAAGACAATCAAATAGGCCATTTCTAAGAAAAGTTTTTTTCGTTGTTTAGAGTCCACCCTAAACTCGAAAACCTGTCTTTTTATCCGGGAAAAATACACAATCCAAAAGAAGAAAAAACATTTTATGAACAAAAGTTAGACTTACTCATCATTATTTGAGACGTTTCCCTGCATTGTAACAAAATATTTTATTAAAAAACACTTTTGTATACCACTTCACTTTTTTAGATGCCGAACGCTAAAATAGTTAAATGCATGTCAAAGATTTGTTGATTTTAATTTGTGTTTGTTTTTAATTTCATAACCTCAAAACTTATCCGTGCGCAGACGCTTAGCATAAAAAACTTCGAAATGGTCTGACTTTACAAACGCATAAACTGAAGTACTTGTATGACTTATTCGAAACATCAATTAAGGAATAAACAATAACGTTTTTGAAAAGTTACAGGTAATGAGATTTTCTTGAATATATAATTTTATGACACTGTGTAATAAAATAAATGGCGATAACGAACAGTTTTAAACTCAAAAGTCCATTTTAAACAATACGATATCAGGGGCAGAGAAAACACATACCTCTAAAACACCAGAGGTGGGCTCATGTGGAGAAATGATCAACCGCTCTGGGCTCTCTGTCATGATCTGTAAAACTGAAAGAAAACGTAGACAAGTCTGAGTGTGAATTATGGTCTTACTTTTAGAATGAAAAACATCAGTAAGCATTTGACTCAATGATTAGTTGTAATTGCTGACAAGATTATTGTATCGGCAAAAAAAAAAAATACTTGCGAAAGGATGACCTCCAATGAGACTTGATATTCTTTCATCAACTTGTATGTTAATACCTGTAGGTTGCCTCGTTTTATACATTGTTCATACAGAGAGCATGTTCCTGCTTATCGGATCAACTGTGACATATAAACTTCATACGCAGGTGATAAGGTTGTATTGCGACTTAAGTCAGAGAATTTGATAGTTGAAAAGATGAAATCATCAAGTTATCATAAAGCTTGGTTATAAGGTTACTACATCTGTTTTATATAGATATTTTAGTTGAAAGGGTTGTTATTGGTAACTTAACAACAAAGCTTTATGATAATTGTGATTTTTCAATTGTCAACTTCCCACACTTATGTACCAATATCCCTTATCACCTGCAATTGGGGTTTGTATCTCTCAGATAAATTGATACACAAGAACATGCACTATGTACGAACAATTCCTAAAAACAAGTTATGAAACACGAAAATCAATTATAGCATTTTGCAAATATTTTGACAATGATCTTGTCACCAAATACAGTCTATCATTAAGTCAAATGCTGGTTGACGTTGTCTATAATTTTTTCCGTTTTTTTTCTCGATCATGACATGCGTACCGGGGTATGACTGATCGACGGAAGATGCTCACTCCTCCATGGCACCTGATCTCGCCTCAGATGGTTAGAGACCGTGTTTGCTCTGCTCCTGATTTGTATTGTTAGAATTTCCCCCAATATTCCTATGTAAAACTTTGATTCTCCATCCAATATGTGCCCCTCCAGGAGAAGGTGAGGGCATAATTTTGATCAAATTGAATTTACATTATAAAAAGAAAATTTCACTTAATGTTCAAATTTTTGCCCGGTGGTTCTTGAGAAAGTTTTAAAATTGTTACCAAATTTTCACGGTTTAATTATCCATCCTTGAAAGAAAATGTCCTTTATCTGAAAAAATCTTGAATTTTCACCCAAGGATGGATTCAGCTCAGGTGAGCTAACAAAACAATGAACAAAACGGAACAAAGCAACATAAAGAAGGAAAATATAGCGTTGATCAGCTTCATAAGGCTCTTAGAAAAGGGTTTATTTCACATGTATGCTGCATTTATCTTCACAAGGGTGTGAGAACATGCAATTTTCTGTATAGTTTTAATCTACTAACGTTCAATCGCCCCTTGATATTGTGAAATTAAGCATGAAACAACTGTGTGAGATCTTGGTTTAACGTTTTAATCCAATCTATTGCCACAACACTTTCTCCGTAAATTCAAGTTAATTTTTCAGCCATAAAAATTTGTCTGGTTTTTAGCTCTACTGGTCAGAGACCAGAAGAGCTTATGCGATAGTAATGCGTCCGTCGTCCGTCCGTCTGTCTGTCTGTCTGTCTGTAAACAATTTTTCAAAATGCTACTCCTATTAGAGTTTTGGTCCGATTTCAATATAACTTGGCACACAAGTAGACTACACTAAGATACATAATTCTGTGCATCGGTTTTTGATTTCGATGATCGGTGTTGCCATGGTTACTAAAAATATAAATTTCTGTGAACTTCTTTCAAATTGCTACTCCTCTTACAATTTTGGTCCGATTTCAATATAACTTGGCACACAAGTAGACTACACTAAGATACATAATTCTGTGCATCGGTTTTTGATTTCGATGTATGGTGTTGCCATGGTTACTAAAAATAGAAATTTCTGTGAACTTCTTTCAAAATGCTACTCCTCTTACAGTTTTGGTCCGATTTCAATATAACTTGGCAAACAAGTAGACTACACTAAGATACATAATTCTGTGCATCGGTTTTTGATTTCGGTGTATGGTGTTGTCATGGTTACTAAAAATAGAAATTTCTGTGAACTTCTTTCAAAATGCTACTCCTCTTACAGTTTTGGTCCGATTTCAATATAACTTGGCACACAAGTAGACTACACTAAGATACATAATTCTATGCAACGGTTTTTGATTTCGATGAACAGTGTTGCCATGGTTACTAAAAATAGAAATTTCTGTGAAATTTTATTTTAAATACTACTCGTCCACCAGTTTTGTTCTGATTTCAATATAATGTGGCACACAAGTAGACTACACTAAGATACATAATTATGTGCATCGGTTTTTGATTTTGATGAACAGTGTTGCCATGGTTGCTAAAAATAGAAATTTCTGTGAAATTCTTTCAAATGCTACTCCTCCTTTAGTTTTGGTCCGATTTTAATATAACGTGGCACACAAGTAGACTACACTAAGATACATAATTCTGTGCATCAGTTTTTATTTTGTTGAGTGTCAAGGATCATTTTTCTATTGATTCCTGTTTTGAATTCTCAAGTCACAACTACTACTTTTCTCTTCCTTTGTTTTAAGT